ATTTATCGAATCTGAATAAGTACCTCTTATCTTTAGGCAAAACTTCCAAATTTCTAAAACTTAACATTTTTTTAAAAAACAACTCTGGCCTCTTTCGATAAATGACGTGTAGGAACGTGTTTGTCAGTTCATCGATAATAAAAAAAAACAACATATTTCCTTATACCCTACGTGTGTGTTCCGCCCGCAGTCAAGTCAATTTTAATCTGTGTAACTTCTGTACCGAAGGTCACAAAACAACAAAGCTCTTGCTCATAAAAAGTGCAACAAAAAAGGTACAACTCCCCTCCTTTAGAACATAAAAAGATCAAGACTGAAGCCATTCTTTGAGTTTGATGTTGCTCAAGAAAAAGTGGACAGAAGCAAAGTTTTCAAAGGCTGAAAATACCTGACACAGCTTATGCAGCTGCAGGTTTGTGACACTTGCCCTCGTTTCACACCTGTTCCCTACAGTTGGCGGCTGTACCAACTTCTACACTACCTGCCCAGCAGCAAACAGCAGACAGTTAATGCACATAGTGGAGCATTAAGCAGCTGGTGAAGAGCTACTATTGTAAAATACATTAAATACTGTAATAATAAGGTTTCCATACATGACTCCAAAAGAAAAAAAGAATAGTTTGGGAAATACACTTATTCACTTTCTTGCCAAGAGTTAGATGACAAGTTTCATACCATAAACATGAAACCACAGACAGCAGCCAGTTAGAGCTAGCCCGTCTCTGAAACTGCACAGTTTCAGACAAATTAAGACACAGTTTCGCCTGAACAAGTGAGATTTTACCATAGACATATCGGTCACATTAACACAGCCAGGCCAGCTGGTTCCCCCTGTTTCTGGTCTTTGTGCTAAAAGCAAAGCTATCGGGCTGCTGGCTGTAGCGTTAAATTTAGCGCACACACACAAGAGTGGTATAACAATTAATGTCTAATTATAGCTCATTGTTTCCAGCATAGCTCATTAAAACGCTGGTTACATCCCTAAACACGCCATCATTGTGTCTGAGCTGTGAGTGTTTCCTTCCCTGACTCTGGACACCAAGCTCACTGTGGCGCTTTCACTCTGTGTGGCTCTGAGGGACTCAGTTTGCATGTGTGTGTTTTCATGCATCATATGTCTTGTGTTTGTGTGTGAATGGACTGGGCTGAATCAGTAAACACCAGTTTGAACGCAAACCGGTCATTACCAGAGCGGCCACACCCGAGTCTCTTCTCCCTCCTCCCCACTCACTCTCTGAAAGTAGAGCACATCAACCTCAGCCAGCACTTCTTTGCAACGGGGGAAGATTTATAGCACACGCACACATTAAAGCATTTGTGACTAAAACCAATACTGCAGTGGAAGTGGTGGTCGTGATAGAGGTGGTGACGGAAATTCTAGGTAAAAACAGAAATTCTCCAGAGTCCTCTCTCTGGGTGTTTTTGTTTTAATTAACCGGCTCCTCTACAGCGCCTCCATCCAGCTGTGCATTATGGACCTGCAGCCGGAGGGACTGACCGGGCGCCGCCTGCACAATGATTACCATTAGCCGCTTAATCACACAGACGTATGCACAGACACCTCATCCTGCAACCACACAAGAATACCAAAGTATTCGACTAACCATCAATAAGCTCACTCTGACTGATATAACCACTGCAACACCGGTTATATCAGTCAGCATGAGACATCTACTGTTTGTGGTTTACCTGAAGTGTTTCAAAAAGGGGAAAGTGTTCGGAAAAAGTTCCTTACTTCAGTGTTTTCCCTCACTGACTCACAGGCAGTTTACTGTAAGATCTTTTCATGTTATTACCCTTACAACTGTGTTCAGTATGAGACACGGCACTGACTCAACTGTCCCACATCCTCCACATGCAAATGATAATTAAATCAGATAACTAGTTCACCTGTTGAGTCATTTATCCGGAAACAAAACCAAAAAAACCAAACATGAATATTGACTGCTTTACTTCCTTTTATATAATTATTAATTGAATATATCTTTGGCTTTTGAACCGTTGGTTGGATATCACAAGAGTTGCTGACAAAACAAAAACAGAATTGAACGCCAAAGCCTAATTGATAATGAAAATAACCATTAGAGATGTTTCCCCTTGTGAATGTAAGTGGAGGCGGATTATAGTTTATTGCAGTCTAACACAAAACCACCTCAATTTACAGCCTCAAAACAACTGCCAGAAAGTTGAGTCAACAAAGTGACAGTGTCAACAGAAACTGCACAGCGCTCACACTGACAGGATTTACTGCAGGGCTGTTGTGCTGGACTGCATCAGACTGTACAGGTCACTAAATAACTGGTAATACCGCACTGTAAAGGGTCAATCATAAAAGCCTAGCACGTCCTATGTCTATCTGGCTTGAAACCAAGGACGCACAGGTGACCCGTTTGGATATCCACCTCGGATATGTGCTGTGGTTACACCCAGACAGGGCTCAAACAGGACCGCTTGGTTGGAGTCATCTTCTGAGAAAGGCCACAGTGAAACTCACAGCGTTGTTGAGGATGTTCGGGCTGTAATGAACTCCAGACGCGTTCCAAACAGCGCCCTGACACAGCGCAGATGCCTCGGCGCGCCGATGGGAGCCCCGACAGAGGAACAATAGAGGAGCACACAAACACAACTCTGCCCTTCTTCTCCAACGCGTTCACCCTCACAGCAGAGGCTTTTCATACAAAAGGACAACTAATACATAATAAATAAACCGTGTGAGCTCACCTTTTCTTGCGTCTGTGTAGAGGAACTCGTTCATCAAGTAAATCCAGATCCACAGTTCCCGTCGAGTTGAGGAACAATGCGCAGTCGTACCTGAGGTCACGCTCTGAGCACAAGGTGAACAATTTCAAATGAAAAAAAGCTAATTATTGTTTTTCTCCGTTTCTATCGAGGCTCCATTCCAGGGGTGGTTTGGTTTTTGGGTTTTGTTTGCCCCTCTTTTTCGTCCCAGAAACTCAGACTTGGCGAACAGATTCCGTCACCTGTGTTGGAGCTTTTTCCTTTGCTTCCGGTAGTTTGGGCGGCTGTTACCTGTGCGCAGTGATCCGCGCTGTGCGTCCCGGGAGGAGCAGAAAGGGTGCGGCACGATACTCTGCTGCTGCTGCTGCTGCTGCTCTAGATCTCTCTCTCTCTCTCT